TGTGTTAGGTGTAGCATTCAAACTGTAATTGTATTGTTATGATTTCTAATTCTGGTTGCTCTTTTCCATGTGCAGAGAGTACAAGTTATATTTGGAAATGTCATACCTGAATAAATATTACTGAGTTGGGAGAGAAAAAGGAGATGTGATTGTCAAAAATTTCAGCCTGTGATAAATCTATACAGTATTGCTTTGCTATTGGACAGATAAATCCCACTCTTTCAGTTAATTCACTTAATGAAAAATAACTGTTCACTATTTTTCTTGGTCTTTTTCATGATAAAGCCTTAGAATGCAAATCACTTTGAAACAGATTTAGATTATATTTCTGTGAGAAAATTTTATTATGAAATAATGAATACTTTGCTTCCAAATACATTTAACTGCAAAGATTTATAAATTCAGAAATGTACAGAGAAAAACTAATGAACGAATATTTTGATAGGAACATTCCTAACAATTCTACAAGGAAAAGGATATCCTTGCAGGAAGGAGAAAGGTGGAGTTCTGCCTATGCTGCATTTTTTCAAGAATTGTACAGTCTTTTGTAGGACACAGGAAGAGGATACGGAAGTTTCTACAGGAAGAAAGAGAAAAGTTCAAACATAAACAGTAGCCAAAAATTAGCAGCAGGTCATTAGATTTCCTTTTGCTTGAGTATTTCAATATAAACCAATATACTTTATTTATAAAGTTAACATGTTAAAATGCATTTGTTAAATGTGTTAAAGAAATACACTTGTAAATAATGTTTATATTGCATATGCCAGATTGTAGTGCCTACTGTGGATTCTACTGTCAGCTGCAAAAAATATAAGGAGATTTTAAAAAAATAAAGCCCTTATTGGGGAGACAGAACTTGAAATAAGCCTACAGAAATTATGCTTGCATATGGGGTAGAAGTATTACTATTTGTGGCCATTGGTTTCTCTTTTTGTAAGTAGTGCTGGAGGAGTACAGTATATTCCTGTGCTTGTGTGTCTCAGCTAGGAGTACACAGTAGTAATAATCAATCCATTTATCAGTGTTCCTAAAATGGTATGTCACTAGATATAAAAAGGTTTGCCACTGCTAAATCTTGGGCTTTTCAGATTACTAAATCCTGGATGATACTTAAGACTTGCAGCAATGCAATGAAGTACATATCTATTCATTGCCATTAATTTCCTGGAACCATGTTTTTCAAAGTGTGGTTCTCAACAAAATGTTTCCCCAGAAGAATCTGGTCACAAAAGAGCTGAAATCATTATAATAAAAAAGAACTATTTGAATTGTTTTATTCTGTTTCTCCCCAGGTCAATATACTGTATTTTATTTTATTTTTCTCTCTGTCTAAAGTAAAGAATCCACAGACTCCAAAGTATCCCATTATTGCAAATTCATCAGAATAATGCCTGGATTTTTCCAATGCAATCTGGGGCTGTTTTGAAGTTTTGATGAAGTTTTAAGAGTTGGAATGAGAGCAGCTGGCCCGTGAGAGGTTTCCTGAACTGCTTCCCTTCATTGACATTTCTACAACAACCCCTCCTTCCCCAAAGCCATAGACTTTTATATTATTATCCCTGCAGACCTTTACAGTGCTGCTGAAATCTGGGAGCCCTTCAGAAGCTACCCATTTTTGCTCTAAAGAACTTATTTTGGATATGCTTAATGCAAGGTGACTTCATCAATGCAGGATTTATGTTCCTCCTGTTTTTTTAGAAACATAATCTTTTTTCAACCACTTGTAGGGGGAACTCAAGTCAATAATGGTAAATTAAGGACACAAATTATTGCCTTTTATAACTTACAACTGACTATGTCCTACATATCCAGGAACCAGGAATTCATTGTTTGTTGGCCAATAGTAAGAAGCAAAACCAAGGAATCTGCGAGTGAACCTGACAATATTTTATACAGATTTCAAGATGAGACACAAATTGCTATCTTTTTCTGATAATACCTTATTTATGTAGTGTAAGCCAAAGGTCAGAAAGTAGGGAATAGGAACAGAAAGATTTTTTTTCTTCCAGAAAGTACTCTGAATCTGCAAATGTAGTAATACCTTTCTGATTCTACTTCATTTATTTGTTTGTTTATAACATTTACATAGCTGCACATTTTAAAACCAACTCTGGAAAGCTCCCAATTAAAAGTTAAAACAGGATAAAAGCCATATTAACACTATAAAACTAAACACATTAAAAACAACAAAAAACTGGCAAGTCACTTCATCTTATCCCAGTGCTTGGAGGAAAAGTAGGTCTTCAAAGCTTTATGGAAGGCTAGGAGGTTAGAGGCCTGCCAAACTTCAAGGGGCAGAGTATTCCATAAGGCAGGGGTTGCCACAGGAAAAAACAAACAAGCTTCCTAGTTCCCATCAAATGGTCATATTTAAGGGAAGGGACTAGGAGTATGTCCACTCTTTTGGCTTAGCAGGAAAAGATGATTCCACACATAACCTGCCCTGTGGCTTTAAAGGTGATGACCAGAATCTTGAATTGCATCTTGGGGAAAAAACCTGGAAGCCAGTGCAGCTTGTACAACAGGTGTTACAGTACATAGGGCAGATCTAGGGTCCCCCAACACTGTCTTCTGTACCATTTATAGTTTGTTAATTTTTTAAAGAAGACTGCAGTCCTATAACCCTTGACTGTAAATAACCATAATTGAAGACCAATTGAATGAATGAATGGAGATATTGTGGTATTGGAATAACATTGCTATGATGAGTGAGCACATCCAGTTGGTGGTTTACTCAGTCACACTAGTTAAATAAATCTTAGATAAGGGCAATGTAAGAATATAAATCTTTAAGCTGATTTTCCCAATTTTGTCTTCCATGTTGTCATAATTCCAAGTTTAAATTTGAATTTTGCAAAGGAATATATTATATATATATCTAATCTCCTGCCATTAATTTCATTAGATGACTCCTAGGATTATGAAAGAAATAGAAATGATATTTCACTCACTTTTTCATGTGCTCTACAATTATGTATACTATTATATTTTCTCATTGCTTACCTTTTCTAAAGTAGAAATCCACTACTGCTGTATCAGAAAGGAAGTGGAATGAATGGATGCATGTATTAGTGTTTATTTCTACCTCTGTTTTTTTTTTGTTTTTTTGCTGTAGCCCTACCTATTGCTGGTATGTGACTTTGGCCACATTTCCCTGGAGGAAACACATTCATCCAAGGAGAAAACAACAGCAACAATTCCTGTCTTATTCCATGACTACTGAGTTTACTTAGATTGTTTACTGAAGGACTTGAAAAAATAGTTTGAAAGTCGGTATTAATGGTACCTTTGGATGGCATAACAAATCAAAGTTAGAGCTTAGCTGCAAATACTCTGTACTTGTTAGTTCCTCCTGCACCCTGGCATGGATAGGGATAATGAGCTGTCCGTTGTACTGCAAAATTGGCTTGCCATGTTGCACAAAATAAAAGTAAGGGTTTCTTCCAGATGGAACTAAAACAAACACAGGTTTCTTTGCTTCATTTTCACAACCAGAAAATTCATATGCAGATTATGAAGAAACAGGCAGGTACAATAATCATATGATAATTAGGGAGAAACCAATGGCACAAGTTATTCACAGCTAAATTATTAATTTGTCATCAATTCTCTGTATGTAATGTTCCCTACATTCCTGTCTGTTGGTTGCTGATACATAAATGAAGGCATGCTGATTCTTCTTCAGTAAGTCTTACTTTTCTGTTTGTCCACTAATGTAATCTTTAATGCTTTCTACTAATTTTACCAAAAGCTGTTAAATTAATTTGTTGTTTCCCAATTTTGTCTTCCATTTTTTTAAAAAATCAAATGTTAACACTGGCTATTTTCCAGTTGTATCCTGCAGTATATTATTAAGTATATCAAGGTCTTTAATTTACAGGTTGTTTCTACTATTTATTCCGTTATCTCTGACTGAGAAAATATATACTGTACATCTGCTAAGAGATAATATATATAAATAATTCACCATTTTGCAATCTTCAGTTCACTTTTCGCACTGCTTTAACACTCTCATTAGCATGTAATCTGGTTTCCCTGCTGTTATTGTTGGACTAACTTTTTTTTAATTCTTATGGAATACTCTCTACATTCTACTTTGCTAAGAATTGCATTTGTTCCTGTTCTACTAATTTATACAATATTTCCATTTTTTAACAAAAGAAATTTATGCTGGCACTTTCTTGGGCTTCATAAAATCTTGCCTAATCTGTGGTGTGGATTCAATCTGAACTTCAATTATAGTTCAAGTCACATTCCTCAAACTATTTTGTAAAATTTTGGCTTCCTTAACTTTTCTTTTTAACTTTTTTATCCTCCTCATTTTTGAGGTAAAGTTCAACTATCTTGCCAATTGTTTATTTATGTATATAGGATAATCTCTTTGGTAGCTTTGTTGTTAATATTTCCAGCTAGAAGTTTTCTGCTCATTTGATTACTGTATTCTGACTGCAGCACTATATGAAACATTTTTATCTCTCCCTATAGTTGTTTCCTTTTCTTATGAACAGTATTATTGCAAATGAAATATTGTCTTTGTATTTTTCTAAAATTGTATTTTAACCAAGTACTTCTAAATCTGCCAGTAGAATTCTTAGAAAAGTGAGCATGATGGAGAAAATCTGAAAAACAGAATTTGATGTCTCGCTAACCATTTACCTGCATTGGTAGGCATATTGATACATGCACGGTATACATGCAATATAATAAATGCATTCTATGGACTTTCATGGTTTTAGTATATCATGCAATCAAGTCAAACAACTTTTAACGAGTATATATGAACAGTTTGCAATTTCCTTCTCTTAAGGCCAAAAATAGTTGAATCACTTAGAGCTGGATGTTGTTGGTGTTTATTTTGTTTTTGTTTTAAAGCTACCTTGTTTCGAGTACTTCAGGCTGATGAGCAAAATTGTAGGTCTGGTTTAAAGCCCCTCCCCGGGGGAGGGGGTGCAGAACAGGAAGAGGTGGAGGTCAGAGGGAACTGCTGGAGTTCCTTGGTTTGTGTGTGGGGCCAGTCCCGTTACCGCTTTACTCTGCGTGTGTCTTATATTACAGCAATGCTGCCTGCACATCAGTGGCCAGAGAGGGGAGAAGGGAGGAAAAGCCTGTTTACACAGACTGCAAACCGCCTGGGGAATAATGCAGGAAAGGAAGTGAGCCGGCTCTCTGTCTGACTGCTCTAACTTCCTGCTCTCTCTCTCTCTCTCTCTCTCTCACACACACACACACACATTTCGCGCACACACACTAACGAGGGGGGGGGGGGGGAAGGGAGAAAGAAACAAGGGGAAAAATCAGGATCTCATTACAAGAGCAACAGAGCGTTTTAGAGGACTGTCAGCATGGAAAACCGGGGGATTCTACACAGCTCTCTTTAAAACGGCGAGAAGAGACTGGCGAGAAGCCCACCAGACCAGGGGCTGGGTACGTAACTCGAAAGTTGGAAGGGAGTCTGGAGGCGAGGAAAAGGGTTGTCGGGGAGACAGGTGGGAGCCGAATGCCAATACAATGCTTCTGGGCTGCTATCGATTGCAAAATAACTTGCAGGAGCACTTTACTTTTCCCGACAAAACACCAGAAGGGTCGTGCCAGGGGGATCCCTGCCTCGCCGCAAGGCATCCGGTTGGGGCGGTCGGGAAGGGGAGAGGAGGGGAAGGGAGCCGAGCCGTGTGTGCGTGAGTTTGGGGCCGGTGGGGGCGAAAGTTTTGGGATGATTTTTCTTGCTGCTGGCGACGTGCCATCAATGTGTACATGGGGGGGGCATATCGGGGGAGGGGAAGCAAAAACTTTGAAACGTTATTCCTCGGTTGCCGGAGAGAGGACGACTTAAGGACCCTTCCCCCCACCCCTCCGAGCAGGAAGGGACTCTGGAGACCGACAGAGAGGGATGAGGTGAGGGAGCTGCGAGGAGCCTCCACCTGCCAACAGGGAAGGCAAAGGAAGGATCTTTTTTTGGGAGGCGGGGAGGGTTGTATGTATAATGCGGCTAGCGGGATGGGATCGGAGTCCCGCGCCGCTGTTGCCTCTGCTCGCTGCAAGCGCTTCTCCGGGAGTGCGGCGGCCGCGGAGGGCCCTCTTGTTCTGTGTGGAGAAAGGAGCTTTGGAGTCAGAGTTTGCGGAAAGGGAGGGGAGGGAAGCGTGTCTGACAGTTTCGTGGAGGAGCTGCCTTTACTCCCAAGGAGCGCTGGCGGTCGTCACGAGCCGACTCCGGCGTGTGTGGGAGGGAGCGCTTTTTGCGTGCGTTCAAGACCTACAGAGGCTCGTGGCGACAATAGCTCGCTTGAAGGAGCCCGGGGGGGGGCGGAGGATAATTTCTGGGGCAGTGAATTTGTATTGGCGAGGGGAGGGGGCAGTACACCGTTCTGGCCTTCCTTGAAATCAGGGGAGTTGCTTAAATTGTTTCGGGCTGCAAAGAGAAGATTGTCCAAGGGGCTTTGGGAGGAAGGTGGGGGGAGCGTTGGGAGAGTTTCTGGCTCGTCTGGAAACAGCAAGACTAATTGCCATGCGCTTCCGGTTTGAAACTGGCAGCAGACAACATCTTGAAAATGAGTCACTGCAGCTCACAAAGAAACTCTGTGGTTTTCTCCTTCTCAGGTTTATGTATTCGCTCTTTTACGGCTGTCTTTGTGGTCTGGAGAAAAAGGGAGCGAGCCAGGCTCCTTCCCGTTCATCCACTTCTTCCACGAAGCAACCCCATCGTCCATTTTAAACTTGTACACCGTCGGTTCCACGAGAGGGAAGGTGGGGGGGGGGGGATATCGCGTGAGGGTTGTTTTTGGATCTGGCTTTGCTGAAGGTTAAGGGACCGTGGTGCTGCAGGAGGAAAAAGTTCCCTGAATTTTCCACTGGTTGCAGGAAGAGAGCCCATTTACTCATGGCTAAGTAATGTCTGCACACACCAACTAATCTCATTAGGCGTTTCCGTTCCTGAACACAGGAGGGTTTTGTGAAGCCCTCTTAGCCTTTCTGCATTACTGTTGAAAGAGAGACAAGTTACATCTTTATTTAACGGGGATGGGGGGTTTGGACCAAGCTAATTTAACGGTGCATTGGTCATGAGGTCTTGAGTGACTTTTTAAAGAGAAGTGAACGGCAGAAACATTTCATTTTCCTAATAGAAGAGCTTTGGCCTTGTAAATGTGGTTTGTTTTAAAGCATCAGTGAACAACCATGACATTTTGCATATCATGATAAACTACTGTATGTAAGAGTATAATCTCAGTAAATAAAATGCTTATCTCAATAACGCATAGGTATGTTCATTTGGATCTCACTTTTTTAAACCTTATGTTTCTTAAAATAGCAATCTTGATTACAGACTATTAATCTAAATTATATATTTGTAATTGCTTGTGGGCAATTTTACCATTTTAATTAATTTTCAATTTTAACATATATAGTATAACTTAAAAACTTTTTTTCCTACTCTAAATGAGCATTCTGGCACCAGATATTTTTCCAACTCTGATTGTATTAATGCACAAACCTCTCTTTTTTAAAAAAAATCCAGAACTTGAAACCCGTTAAATACATATGGAGATTATCATCAAACTGATTTCTAAGTGTTTTAAGAAGTTTGTGCTTTTGCTTTAGATATCTGGTGTGTAACCAAAATGAAACAGGCTATACTTCCCAGAAATGGGGTTGCTTGTAGAATCCCAGGTGGGCTATATGACATCTCAGAATAGCTTTCATTCATAGAATTTGTAATAATTCGCATTAGAGTTTCAGTGAGCTATTCAAGCTATGATCTTACCAGGAATGGGCATCCTTTTTTTTCTCTGAGGGCTGCCGTTCCTGCAGAAGCAATCAACTGGAGGCTGCATTGTATGCTAATAGTGGATTGATTCAAGCAAGCAGTGGGTAGCAGCAGAGCCAAAGGCGATATGCAGTGGATATGCTCTTTTTGGTGTCCTTTTGCTGACTACTATTTTTTCTTGTTCTCCTCATGCAGCAAGCTGCCAGGGAAGCAATAAATTGCTTTTGACAAAGACAAAACAGCCAACAATTAGTACATGAGCTCATTTGGCAGTGGAGAACTCTTAAAACAGAACAAAAATGAAGTTTGCTGATCAATTCCAGTTTGGTGCAGGAAAATTGATGGATATCAAACCATATCTGTTTTAAAAGGGGAACTTTAATCTTTGGTATAAGAAAGTAACTGTGTTAAATGTTTAAAGTACTAATGTCCTAGGCGATCATACTGCATCTTCTGTTTATGTTGATTAATATATTAAATTTCTACATTGATCTCTGACTAGTTACCTGGACAGAAAAGTGCAGGATCGTTGCTTTTTCCTTCTTGCTTAAAAACTTTATTCAAACTTGAGATTCATATTTTTAAATTGAAATTTATGACTTCTTATCCTGAAAGTCATTATAAATCATATACTTGTGCTCTAGGGATCTAAGTTGAATTATCTGTAAAGTAGCTTTTTGTGCGATTTTGCTGATATTTTAATTTATATGTAACAAAAATGAAAGAGAAAGCAGAAAATACAATGTTCTTTTTTAAAAAAATATTAGTTTCACAGTGTCACATTTGTGAGGTGAGTGGCTATATAATTTTGATAACAAATGAATTAGCTAAATAAATATAATTACTGAGTCCCAGAAATGATACCATTTACAGGTTAGTTATATGCACAGTTTGATTTCTATATTTTTCAGTTTCTGTTTCATTTAGTTATTTGCATAATACAGCTAGCTTTCTGTATTGCATTCTTTATAGTTATAGAAGATACGTTTCCTTCTGTTTACTTTTCTGGGTGCTTACTGATTTCTCAATAAATACCTTTACACCAAGTAATTGATTTCAAATATTTCCAGTCTTTGTTCAAAATTTTGAATATGTTTGATACTAGTCCGATTAGACCGATTAGAGTTATTCTATGAGGAGATGCGTGGGCTCCAAATTTAATAAATAAATAAAAATGATCTGATCATTCATAGGTAGACTATAGCTTTGCCTTTGTTCACACATTCACATGATTCCAGAATGGAATTGTGAACTGATGCTAGCTATAGTTTGTACTGTTACTTGAGATATATGTGAACACATTTATATATTATGAATTTAGGCTGCAGAAAGGCAAAAAATATGAAGCAGACTCTTTTGTATTCATTCTAGACTTCTTTAGTTTACTTTTCTTATTACAGTTCATTATATATAAATTTTGAAATCATACTTCAAGATTTTTAAATATTTTTAAATAAATTGATGCTGTGGGATATAATTAGGATCCTTCTCTTTAGTGGAGTCTTCTATTAAGCTGTATAGCTGTAATCAATTGCTGAGAATCAGCTGGTTAGATAATAACAATTTCCATTTCTATGTTGTCTTATTTTTGAATTTTCCATGGACGGTTCTGAAAAAAATACACTGTATTAGCTATAGTGGTCTTTGGTTTAATTTGTAGTAGAACTGCTGCAGGATATATTTTAACTAAATCATATCCAATTTAATATGTATCTTTATAATATAATACCTTTCACTTCCATAGCTGACTCATGCTCTAAATGTGGATATTTATCTAAAATTTACAAACTAAATATTGATTTTATGTGCCACATTTAGTACAGGTGTTCTTTGGTTTCCAGAAAGAGATCTGATAGCCTTGGCCTCCTCCTCTGTGTCAATTGTAGTCCTGTAAAAAGCTGTAATGACATATTTGTCATAGCTTTTTGTAGCAGTGCAGCTTTGTTTTCTACAATCATTCTGTAGTCTTGAATGATTATATGAGTTCATTTCTGTTCGAAAGTTCTGATTTAAGGAAACCAACTGGTATACTTGAATCTTCTGAGAAACACTTAAAAGACAAGAACATATTTGTTCTTAGAAATTTTACTGACTTATAAATTGGTCATAACTTAGAGTAAAACATCAAGATACAAGAAAGGACATTGATTTTACTAAGCATCAGAATAAACTGTGATAATGCAGATTTGCTAAAACGTATATAAACAGGATGAATACATATATATATACATACAATAGTTTTCCCTTTTTAAAAAACAAATTTGATTTTTTCTTATTGGATCACCTATTCTTGCAGTTATGTGAACAGTATGAGTATCAATGTTTAGGAACGAACTCTAAAAATACTCCAAAGAATTCACAAATCTCAAATGAAGTGCAGCATCTTTTAAGTCAGCTTGCAGCCCAAGTTTAAAATCATGTTTGCCTGTTGAATTACTGTTGAGTAGAAAGCATTTGTAGGTTTCATTTAACTCTAAATTTTAGAACTTGAAATACATAATAAACTTTGAAACTTTGCAGAATTTCTTTTCTAACAGGGGAACAAAAACTGAATATGTTGCAGGCGGATTATGGTAATAGGGGCAAAATATTGTAAGGATTTATTTATTTAACCTTTCATGACATAGGTTCATTATTTGAACATTCTATATAAAGGTATAAACTG